TTTATCAGGATTGTGATCATATCCTGGGGGAGTGGGAAACACCAAGAGAGAGAAAATACTTGAGTGTATACTCTGTACAATTTTATCATATAGTGAAATACCCTTCGGAGTTTGTCCTGTGGTTTTTTTCCTCAATAGTTTTTGGGGGTTTTTCCATGTAAAATTTGGTGTTATTTTGCTTGTTTATTTTCCCGCTTAAGTGGCTAGTTGAACCGCCCATTTTATTTATATTTCTTAAGTGGCTGGTTGAACCACCCATTTTATTTTGCTTGGTCGGCTAAGCCGTCTTTTTTCACTAACCGTTAATATTGGTCAGCTAAGCCGCCTATTTCACCGGTCTTTTTTATTGTTCACGTGTTCTATTCACAGGAATTAATTTATTCCGCGCGCCAATTTTTTCTCAACAACTGGTATTAGAGCCAGGCGCTGCTAATATTCACGTGAACAATGGAGGTGAATCAGAGCAAAATGATCACGTTGAATAGTTCAAACTATCAGCTGTGGAAAGGGAAAATGGAGGACCTTCTTTATGTGAAGGAATTTCATGAGCCTGTCTTTTCATAACAAAAGCCAGACAGCATGAAGGATGAAGAATGGAGGCTACTCCATAGGCGAGTGTGTGGATTTATCCGGCAATGGATTGATGATAGTGTGTTGAATCATATCAATGATGAAATTGATGCACGCACACTATGGACAAAGCTAGATCAGCTTTTCCGAGCGAAGACTGGGCAGAATAAATTGTGCCATATAAAGTAATTAATGTACTCAAGGTACAAAGATGGCACTCCCACAGCAGACCATGTTAATAATTTCCTTGGCATCATCAAGGAGTTAGCCAATCTCGGCATAGAATTTGATGATGAGGTGAATGGTCTGATTCTTCTCAATACCTTGCCGGAATCATGGGAGAGTTTTAGATCAACGACAATCAACTCATCTCCTGGTGGTCAAGTCACACTCGAAATTGCCAAAAACAGGATCTTTGAAAAGGAAAAGAGGATGCGGGCACTAGAAGTCTTCTCGCAACCAGATACTCAAGCTCTTGTCATGGAGAATAGAGGCAGGAGTAAAACCAGAGAACCCAGAGGACGAGGAGGCAGATCCAGATCAAAGTCCAAAAGTGGAGTGAAATGCTATCATTGTGGCCAGCTAGGCCACATGAAAAGGAATTGCTACTTGTTGAAAGGAAAAGACAAGAAAAAGGCTAAAGATGGCACTACAACCGCTGTAGCATCTACCAGTGGCGGTGACGTGACTCTACTATGTGATCGTGGGGAATGCTGCCATGTAGAAAACTCAGATGCTGAGTGGATAATTGATTCTGGTGCCTCTTATCATTGTGTTCCCAAAAGGGAATATTTTTCAACATACAAAGCAGGAGACTTTGGCACCAAAAAAAATGGGAAACAAGAGTGTTTCTCATATTATGGGAGTTGGTGATATCTGTGTCCAGACAAATGTTGGATGTACATTAACACTGAAAAATGTGCGACATGTTCCCGATATGCGTATGAATCTGTTGTCTGCAAAAGCACTGGATGAAGAAGGATACGCACACTACTTCAGGAATGGCAACTGGAAACTCACCAAAGGATCAATGGTGGTGGCAAAAGGGAGAGCATGTTGCTCATTATACAAGACACACATGAAAATGTGTGGAGGTCAACTGAACACAGTTGAAGATGAGGCTTCTCCAAATTTATGGCATAAAAGATTGGCTCACATGAGTGAGAAAGGATTGCAACTTTTGGCTAAGCAGTCCCTTGTTCCCATTGCCAAAGGTGGACATGTGAATCCTTGTGATGTTTGCCGATTTGGAAAGCAACACCGAGTTTCTTTTCAAAAGAATTTGACTTGGAAGGAGAACAAGCTAGACTTGGTCTACTCTGACGTTTGTGGTCCCCTAGAGGTAGAGTCGTTTGGTGGCAATAAATATTTTGTTACCTTTATTGATGATGCAACTCGGAAGACTTGGGTATACTTGTTGCAGAATAAAAGCCAAGTTTTCAAGTATTTCCAGCATTACCATGCTATGGTGGAAAGGGAGACAGGGTTGAAGTTGAAATGTCTTCGTACAGATAATGGAGGGGAGTACACCTCCAAAGAATTTAGAGACTACTGTTTGAAGCATGGCATAAGGCATGAAAAGACGGTTCCTGGCACTCCACAACACAACGGTGTTGCAGAACGGATGAACCATACCATTGTGGAGAAAGTTCGATGCATGCTAAGAATGGCAGCTCTACCTAAGCCATTCTGGGGTGAAGCAGTCAACACATTAGTTTATTTGATCAATCGGTCACCTTCAGTTCCTTTGAATTTTGAAATCCCGGAGAAAGCTTGGACGGGAAAGGATGTTGGATACTCTCACTTGAGAGTGTTCGAGTGCAAAGCATTTATGCACGTACCAAAGGAACAGAGATCAAAGCTAGATGATAAAGCCATTCCATGCATTTTTGTTGGATATGGTGATGAGGAGTTTGGCTATAGACTATGGGACCCATAAAAGAAGAAAACTGTCAGAAGTAGAGATGTCGTGTTTCATGAACACGAGAAAATTAATGATTTGAAGGAAGAAAAAGCTACAAGAAGCTCTGGAAAGGGTGTAGAAGATCTAACACCGGCAAAAACTCCTTCAAGAAAAATTACAAATGAAGAAGAGGTGCAAGCACCAGAAGATGAGACAGAGGAGCCAACAATTGAAGAAGAAGAAGCAAGTGTAGATGGGGGAAATAATGAGCAGGGGGAGCAACCCCTGCCACAGGAGGAAGAACCTCAGTTGAGAAGGTCCACCAGAGAGCACAAACCATCTGCAAGATACTCCAGTTCTGATTATATCTTGATCACTGAAGAGGGGGAGCTGGAGAACTTCCAGGAGGTGCAGTCTCACAAAGACAAAGACTGCTGGATGAAGGCCATGCAGGATGAAATGAACTCCCTACACAAGAACAATACTTATGAGCTTGTGGAACTTCCCAAAGGAAGAAAAACCCTGAAAAACAAGTGGGTATTCAAGCTCAAGAAAGATGGTGACAAGATAGTCAGATATAAGGCTCGATTAGTGGTAAAGGGCTTCAGTCAGAAAAAGGGGATTGATTTTGATGAAATATTTTCCCCAGTGGTAAAGATGAGCTCGATTCGCGTTGTGCTTGGTCTAGCAGCAAGCATGAATCTTGAGCTTGAGCAGTTGGATGTGAAAACTGCATTTTTCCATGGTGACTTGCATGAGGAAATTTATATGGATCAACCAGAAGGTTTTGAAGAAAAAGGGAAGGAACATATGGTTTGCAAGTTGAAGAAGAGTTTGTATGGACTAAAGCAAGCTCCAAGACAATGTTACAAGAAGTTTGATTCTTTTATGATAGGTCATGGTTATAAAAGAACAAATGCAGATCCATGTGTCTACATCAGATTATTCCCTGATGGCAACTTCATTATCCTTTTGTTATATGTTGATGATATGCTAATTTTGGGACAAGATGTTGAGAAAATTTGCAG